CTGTACGATGATACCGGGAAGGACGACGAGGAGATCTCTACGTGGCCGGTGGAGACGCACAACTACGTGGACGAGTGCTTCTACGACGACAAGGACGAGGTTCAACGAGAACTACGTCGAGGCATTCTACACGGAAGAGCTAACGGACAACTACCCGATGGAGAGGAGTGGCGCGCAGAGAACCATCCAGATACCTGACCAAGTTGTAGTTATGTTTCAACTTTGTGCACTTGCAGTGTATGGAGTTTATCTTTCGACGTCTCCTACGGTGGTGACAGTAGTCTCTATCATCTCAGGTATCATCATATTCATTTACGTAATGCAGCCTAAGCAGAACGACGACGAGGACATGTTTGATCCGATGGAGGTGGATAGTCCAAGCAGCGACAACCTGTTCAAGCCGGAGTTGCCCGAGAAGTCGGTCAAGGTCAAATCCAGGACGGCGAAGGCTACGCCGAAGGCTACGACGACAACACTCGCAGTACGAGCCGATCCAGAGACCTACGATGACGAGGTCATGGGAGATGGACCAATCATGCTGGGAGATAGTGCTCTACTGAGACAGTGGCTGGAGACCATGGGACCGACGATAATCAGGAGTGGCAAGTGCGAGGGCGACAGCTATGAGACGATCTAGACGAAGGACAGGCACTACGCAAATTGCCTAGGACGGTGTCTCAAGCTGGACGCAGACGAGAGCAGGAGTTATAATTTCGACCAGAGCATCAAGGTTTACATTGCATACGGCATCATGAGGTCAGCAGTACGTGTACGCTGATCCCAACTACTACATATGTGATGATATCTTGGAGCCAGCCAAGGCAGTGGCTCAGATGTGAATGGTGGTGAGGATGATGAGTGATTCGTGTTACCATTTTCAGATGATGAGTGATGTTTGGTCACCATCTACATATGAGAAATGAAAGCACCCGCTCAAGAGTTCAGATACAGATTTTACATATTAGTATATGTTGCTCGGTGCGCAGACCTCAGGGAAATACTTGTTTATCTGTTGTTCAGTGCGTGGATTTCTTCGATTTTAGTATATGTTGCTCGGTGCGTTGATTTCTTTTATGTTGATATGTATTGTTTGATACACGGACGGTAGTTTGACCGTTCGAGCAGAGAGTATTGGTTCTCTTTTCCTTGATATATGTTGCTTGGCGCACGGACGATAGTTTGATCGTTCGAGCCAATAATATTATTCAATATTCTGGAGGCTTGCTGCAGAATTTGCCCAGGCATTATTTAGCAACGTTTCCTTTTCCTGTGAGAAAGCTATAGTAGCAAGGATGTGAGTATAGGACGATGTTCAGAATTATCTATGTTATTGTTCTCGTTCGTTCATGTTTGCACTCTCTTGTTTACTATTGACATTTGTGGCTTGGACCCGCCCGGCTGAGGCGGGAGGGTGGCGCACCTATCGAACGCTGAGTTTGATTCGGTATAAGATATCCTATCATCTGCCTGTCTTCTTCTTGCATCAAGAGGTTGTGGGTGGAAACAGATTTGGATCATTATTTACAATCGATCCTCCGAACGCCGCTTCCGTTGATCCTTCCATGTCGCAGCAACATCGTCGTCCAGCAAACCGTGCTGATCTCCCCTTTTTCCCCCAAGCTGCATGGCCCAATGATTGGTCAATTGCGGTGCATTGCAACGCGGCTCAGGGTCCGCCCATTTGTGCGTGCCAGAAAGGAGGGTGATGTCTCATTCCCGTAATGCCAAGCTGATGTCCTCCAGTCGACCGTTGGAATTCGCAGCCAGTGGGTTGCAGCACACGGTTCGCATGGCTAGTAGGTGAAGCAGCGTATTTTGTAGTCGTGCACTTCTCAGTCGCGGGATATACATGGCTATTGCATCATCCCCTTCCCCCCTGCCCCCCACCCCACAGCAGCTTGTGTAGACCGAGTTAAACGGAACGCAGGCACGGTTCAGTCTGGCTTGGGTATGCTCGACATCTGCCGAGGAGGAGGAGGGGGAGGACGAGGAGAGATGGGGACGGTTACGGGGACTGGGACTGGGAGGGATTATGTTGGATTATGTTGGCCTGATCAACTCCACATTGTGATGTGATGTGGGGCCGACGGAAAAAAAAAACGCTCACCATCCCCCAGGCCTATCTTGGGCGACAATGTGCGGCATCCGAGAAGTCTAGCCTTGCATACAAGGCTCGCCCGTAGCTGAAAACAATGGCTCCAGCTATGCGCAACCTTTTCCACCCTGGTCCCGTTAGTAGGGCAGGGGGTCATGGTGCGGGCCTGGCTCTGCTTTACCAGCCTCCACCCTGGTCCCCGCCTTGCGGCAGGGGTCATGGGGCGGGCTTGGCTCAGCTTCACCCCCTCCTTTCTTCACACTTCTCGCAGCGACCGTGTGCACTGCCACTGCCTCCCTTCTCGCACGAACTACTCCCAGCAGTGTAGCTGTTATGTCGTTCACTGCCGCCCTGCTCAGACGAATTTGCTGCCAGCGTTGTAGCTAAAAGGTCGCCCACTGCCGCACTCCTAAAGTGAACTACTCCTAGCAGTTTAGCTGATGTGTCGCCCACTGGCTGCGTTTTCGCATGAACTACCCCCTGCCTTGTAGCCGACATTCTCCTCACTGCTTGCTGTCTCGCATGAATTGCGTCCAGTCTTGGCTAGCTGATATGTCATTCAATGCCTGCCTTCTCGCATGAACTACTCTCAGCGTTGTAGCTGTTATGTCGCCCAATGCCTGCCTTCTCGCATGAACTACTCCCAGCGTTGTATCTGAGAGTTCGCTCACTGCCGCCCTTCTCGCTTGGCCTACTCCCAGTTTTGCAGCTGATACGCCGCTCACTGCCGGCCTTCTCGTCCGGACTACTCTCAGCGTTGTAGTCGAGACATCAATCGGGGAGACATGAGCCGCGAACTATGGGGACTCTTACGTGTCGGGAGTCGATAAGGCACGGTTAATGTTTTACGGCTTAGTTCCCTAACAATGGTGGCATGCTATGTTCAATTCCAATTCCAATTCAAACATCAGAAAGCATTGAATTGTTTGCAACATAAATCATGCTACGCTGCTTACGATTCTAACACATTCACGCCGGATTCAAAGACACAGTCTGTTGCCAAGGTGTCTCGCCAAAATGGCGCAATAGAAGGATTTGCTCGAGGTCGCGCCTGTCTTAGGCATCTGCGTCGAGCGGCGCTGACTGAGTAGAAGAGAGGGCTGGCAGGGAGAGGAACTTCATGGAAGGGCGAAGGGGAGGAGGAGGGAACCAGGCAGCTACGGAACACTCTCAACAAGAACTCCCGCAACCCCATCGCGACGTTTTCATTTCTAAATGAGGCTGCACACAATTTATCCCACTTCGTGGGGTAACTGTTTCGGAGCTAACCTACTCAAACGCAACGCTGGGGGACAGTTTTCGACCATGTTAACAAAGTCCCCCGCTTCGATAACCGACCCAAGCGCAACGCTGGGGGACCGTTTTCGGCCAAGCTAGATGTTAACAAAGTTCCCCCTCCCTTTCGAGCTGGGGGGGGCCATTTTGTTAAGTGCAGCCTCGTGACGTAATCCCCCCCAACAATTTCAACACCGTCACCAAACCACGAGGCACCGCAGCAGTGGTGGACCCATGCTGTACGAGCGCTATGCGCACGATCGCTATGGATGATCATTCACTCGATACGCGATACCCTATCCGATGGAGGCACGCGTGAATTACTGTGGCGGTACCCGCCCCTTCTTCAACAATTTCCTGGCCTCTTCCCGGAGGAAGTCCGCCCCACGATTGTGAAGCACGATTAGCTGCCCCGTGCCAATCCCCATACCCCCATGGATGCAACACATACTAAGATGCGCCTACTACCATGCCTATGCCTTCAACACTCGCGCCAATACCCTCCACTGCACGGCCTATGGCCACCCATGGCCTACACGCGGGCCCGTTGCACGGTGCCTGCTAAGCCCCCCACCCCCATGCCTGATATGGCCACCTATGGCCCGAGTGCGACTGCACAAACCCTAGGCCTGTTACGGCCTAGCATGGTCTGCGAACTAACAACATGTCAAAGCATAAACTTACCTGACTACTCCTCCACGACGTGGCTGGGGGAACGGGCCAGAAGGAGGAGGCGGAGGGGGATCAGGCGGCCCAGCAAACGGGACGGGCACATTTTCTTCGTTCTTTCAGGATCTCATCGCGGATGGGGCCGAACTCGAGTTCTGCTTCCGCTCGCTTGCTTGTGGCGTAGGTGGTGGGTCCTTGTGCGGCCCTGAGAGCCACCAACAGTACGAGCCCTGCTGGCTGCCACCTTGCCACGTGCCTCTTAGTGACTGTGCGCCTGAGTGAGCGGGGAGGACGGGAGCATGCCGATCACACTAGATATTCGTATCATTGCCACGTTATGCAGCCCATGACTGCGATCTCAAAGTCGCAGGACGTGCTGTAGATTGGTGTGCCTGCAAGCATGCATTTGCTGCGCGTTCCGCAGCCACTGGGGCTTGATTCTGGAGCTGTTCCGCACGACCATCGGCCAGGCAGGAGAAAACAAAAGAAGATGATGTTCGGCCTGGGAAATATGAGACGAGGAGGAGGAGGAGGATGAGGAGGAGGAGGAGGGATATGCAGACTGGTACTCGCTTCCCGCTCCCGCTCCTCCTGGGGCGGGCCTCCAGGAATGGGCGGGTCAGACCTCCGACGACTCCTCGGGGGGTCAAGCTGGCCCTAGCGCTTGGAAACGGCACCGCGGAAGCCACAAATGGCGAAACACTTCCGGCGCGATTCCTGCGAACTACTAGAAATCGGGGGAAGGAAGAGAGCAACGCAGCTCCTAAGTCTGCGTAAGGCGTGGTTCCCGCGGCCTCTGGTTTCAGAACTCTCCGCTGAGCCTGCGAAGTCGGGCCTTCATATAGCCAAGCAGCTTGGAAGCCATTCAGGAGCCACATCACCACTCTTGGAACCGCGGCTGACGTCTTTTGTCGCGACCCGGGCAGCCTGCAGCAAGACGTTGTCTTGCCAATTTGGGGAGGCACCGTATGCGCTTTCGCGGACAACATGAACCACGAGCGCATGGGCCACGGGTGCAGGCGGTTCAGGAGACCTGGTGCCGCCCCCCGCCGCGGCCGTGGCCGCCCCTTTCCACCGCTCTGTTCCTTATCAGGCCCCCCGTTCCGCCTCCTCTCCCTGCCCTGCCCCTCGCCCTTTCCCCGTCCCAGCTGTCGCCTGGGTAGCAGCCTGGGCAGATTTGTGGAGTCGCGGGCCCCTCAAAGGTCTCGAACCCTTCTCTGGGGCCGGCTTTTCATCCTGGAGGCGTGCTCCGTCGGCCCCCGCGGTCAGAAGTCTGGAGGGATCTCTTGAGACGGTCCGCAGAGTCCTCCGGAGGCTCCTGGAGGCGCGGCCTCCCAGATGTGCCAGCCTAGCTTGCTGCTTTCGGAGGTAGACAAGGTATGGACATCCTTCCATGGATAGATAGACATCTGGATGGGCATATGACTAGCATCTTCCCAGCTGGGGACTGACATCGACATTCGCATATGATGGACATGCTTCCAGCGGGGCCAGACATCTAGGTATACGCCTGATAGAGATATTCCCATTGGGAGGTGACCAATACACACACATACATTTTTAGATATATGCATATCTATATATATATATATATGTATGCATTGGCGCTTCGCGCCGTGCACCTTGGTCCTTGAAGTTTGGCATGGCGGTAATTCCTGAATGCCTTTGTTCGAAATCGTCGTGCCATTCCCTCATGTTTCCTCTTCCTCGTCCTCCTGTCGCCTCAGAACTATTCCCCATCCTCATCAGCTCTTTCTGCGGAAGCTCCCTCATGGAGAGCCTCTTGGAGGCCTGACGAAATTTGTTAAGGGTTTCTTGGGGCATTCTGGAAGCCTCCTGGGTTCCTTCTGGGGGCCTCTGGGGGCTTCCTCGGGCCACCCTGCTTCCAACCGCGGTCTCCCTGAACGATGGGGTCACGATTTGGAATGCTTCGGGAGCGTCTTGGGGCCATCTTGGGCCGTCATACTGCTCTCTTCGGGCCATCTTGGGGTTCTGTTGGGCCGTCTCGGTGCTCTCTTGCCTGGAAACCCTTCGGGGGAAATGGGGGCGATTTTCGGGCCTCCTGGGCGATCTCGGACGCCTGGAAGACCCAAGAACAGAGCATCACCAAATCATACAGAAACCATTAGGAAGTCAATGTTTTTGTTGCGATTCGAATGCCTCTTGGGGGTCGTTTTGGGGTCGTCTTTAGGCGTCTGGTTGGTGTCAGGGGCCTCTTGGGGCTCTCGCGGGGCCGCTCGGCCGCCCTTCTGACCGATTTGGGCCCGTTACCCAGGCAACAGGGGCTTCCAGGAGCCCCGGAAAGCCCGGGGGAACCTTCTGCAGGTGCGTCCAGGGGTTCCCGGGGCGACGGATCCAGGGGGTACCCTTTAGGGGGATGTTCCCACTTTCCCGGAGTAGAAAAGGGGATATACATATTAGGCTGTATACATATATACATATATATATATATATATATATATATATATATATGTATATGCATGTTAAGTGTATCGGCATATATGCGCTCATCGATCATTTACAGGTGCAGCCCGTAATTTGATTATCGCGAGGTAGATTGACTGAACTGAACTGAACTGAACCACCATAGCCGTTAGATGGCCAGTTTTAGTTTTTGGGGTGAGGATATTTGGGCGGCAGTTATGTGGTCTGATCACAACGAAAACTGCCAGGACCAGGCAGTTTTCGTTGTGATCAGACCACATCACACCAGAGGATCTGTTAGCCAAGCATGGCCGCGAACATTGCTTTGGCAAACAAATATTTGGGCGGCAGTTGTAAGCCAGAGGGTGAGGATATTTCGGCGGCAGCTTTAAGCCATCGGGTGAGGATATTTCGGTGGCAGTTTTAAGCCAGCGGGTGAGGATGCTTTGGTTGCAGTTTTATTTTTGCGGGTGGCGATATTTCGGTGGCAGTTTTATGTTCGTGGGTGAGGATATTTGACGGGCGCAGCCCGTAATTTGATTCTCGCGAGGTAGACTGACTGAACTGAACTGAATTGAACCACTATAGCCGTTAGATGGCCGGTTTATTTTTTTGGGTGAGGATATTTGGGAGGCAGATTAAAGTTTGACGCCAGCGGGTGATGATATTTCGGGAGGCCGTTTTGAGCAAGAGGGTGAGGGTATTTGGGGGGTACTTTTCCGCGACGGACGGTGAGACTATTGCTGGGGCAGTTTTAGGCAGGGGGGGTGAGGATATTTGGGCAGCAGTATGAAGTTTGACGCCAGCGGGTGAGGATATGTTGGGAGGCCGTTTTGAGCAAGAGGGTCGGGGTATTTGGGGGGTACTTTTCCGCGACGGGCGGTAAGGATATTGCGGGTGCAGTTTTAGGCCAGGGAGGGTGAGGATATTTGCGCGGTAGTGTGAAGTTTGACGCCAGCGGGAGAGGATATTTTGGGAGGCAGTTTTAAGCCAGATAGGGAGGATGTGTTACAGGCGCAGCCCGTAATTTGATTCTCGCGAGGTAGACAGACAGACAGATTGAATTGAATCACCAGGCCGTGAGATGGCAGTTTTATTTCCGCGGGTGGGGGTATTTCGGTGGCAGTTTTAAGCCAGCGGGTGAGGATATTTCGGTGGCAGTTTTAAGCCAGCGGGTGAGGATATTTCGGTGGAAGTCTTGAACCAGCGGGTGAGGATATGCCGGTGGCAGTTTTAAGCCAGCGGGTGAGGATATGTCGGTGGCAGTTTTAAGCCAGCGGGTGAGGATATTTCGGTGGCAGTTTTACTTCGGCGGGTGAAGATATTCGGTGGCAGTTTTAAGCCAGCGGGTGAGGATATTTCGGTGGCAGCCTTAGGCCAGAGGGTGAGGGTATTTCGGTGGCAGTCTCATTTTCGCGGGTGAGGATATTTCGGTGGCAGTTTTACTTTCGCGGGTGAGGGTATCTCGGTGGCAGTTTCAAGCCAGCGGGTGAGGATATTTCGGTGGCAGTTTTAAGCCAGTGGATGAGGATCGTTCGGTGGCAGTTTTATTTTCGCGGTTGACGATATTTCTGTGGCAGTTTTATTGCCGCGGGTGATAATATTTGGTGGGAGTTTTAAGCCAGCGGGTGAGGATATTTCGGTGGCAGTTTCAGCCAGCGGGTGAGGATAGTTCGGTGGCAGTTTTACGTCGGCGGCTGAGGATATTTCGGTGGCAGTTTTAAGCCAGCGGGTGAGAGTATTTCGGTGGCAGTTTTAAGCCAGCGGGTGAAGACGTTTCGGTGGCAGTTTTATTTTCGCGGGTGGCGATACTTCGGTGGCAGTTTTACTTCGGCGGGTGAGGATATGGCGGTGGCAGTTTTCAGCCAGTGGGTGAGGATCTTTCGGTTGCAGTTTTTAGCCAGCGGGTGAGGATATTTCGGTGGCAGTTTTATTGTCGCGGTTGACGATATTCTGGTGGCAGTTTTATTGTCGCTGCTAAGGGTATTTCGGTGGCAGCTTTAACTCCGTGGGTGGAGATTTCGTGTGAGGATATTTCGGTGTCAGTTTCAGCCAGCGGGTGAGGATATCTCGGTGGCAGATTTACTTCGGCGGCTGAGGATACTTCGGTGGCCGTTTTATTTCCGCGGGTGAGGATATTTCGGTGGCAGTTTTAAGCCAGAGATGAGGATCTGTCGGTGGCAGCTTTATTTTCGCGGTTGACGATCTTTCGGTGGCAGATTTATTGTCGCGGGTGATGATGGTTGGTGGCAGTTTTAAGCCAGCGGGTGAGGATATCTCTGTGGCAGTTTTACTTCTGCGGGTGAGGATATGTCGGTGGCAGTTTAAGCCAGCGGGTGAGAGTATTTCGGTGGCAATTTCGAGCCAGCGGGTGAGGATATTTCGGTGGCAGTTTTATTTTCGCGGGTGAGGATATTTCGGTGGCAGTTTTACTTTCGCGAGTGAGGGTATCTCGGTGGCAGTTTCAAGCCAGCGGGTGAGAATATGTCGGTGGCAGTCTTAAGCCAGCGGGTGAGGATATTTCGGTGGCAGTTTTAAGCCAGTGGATGAGGATAGTTCGGTGGCAGCCTTAGGCCAGAGGGTGAGGGTATTTCGGTGGCAGTTGTAAGCCAGCGGGTGAAGACATTTCGGTGGCAGTCTCATTTTCGCGGGTGAGGACATTTCAGTGGCAGTTTTATTTTCGCGGGTGGGGGTATTTCGGTGGCCGTTTCAAGCCAGCGGGTGAGGATATTTCGGTGTCAGATTTTCGCGTGTAAGAATATTTCGGTGGCAGTCTTAAGCCAGCGGGTGAGGATTGTTCGGTGGCAGTTTTAAGCTAGCGGGGGAGGAGGAGGAGGAGGAGGAGGAGGAGGAGGAGGAGGAGGAGGAGGAGGAGGAGGGAGGAACCGAGAAGAGCTGTGCTCGGCGCGTGCATCCAGCCGCCACGCGATGCGTCATTCGCTTGGTTGGCCCAGCCGACGGCTACGCATCCAGCGCGGTTCTGCGCCCGTACATGCTCGCCCCTTGGCGTGGGACTGGCCGGGGGCCAAGGGGCGAGCTGTCTGGTGATTTACATGTGATTGAGGCTCCATACTAGGAATCCATTCGAAACGCTGTATAGGACACACCCCAGTATGAACAATGTCTTTCCAAGGTGACATACATCTGGCTAGACATATTCTATTACGGACCGGGAAAACCAAGCCAAACTTAATGCGCGTCTTTCGTCTCCTTACCCTTCCACTTGTACTCCCACTCCGCCTCCCCTCCCATTCTTCTCGCGAGGATGTGAAAGTGAGACGCGCCAGCGAGTCACATCAAATATTTACTTCGGCCATGTGGGACAGACATGCCTCCTCCTAATCGTCATCCTGGTCTCTCTTGAAGCAGCAGGAAGACATGGAAGAGGTGCAAGAGAAGGTGATTCGTGGGCCGAGGTATAGTTTGCCATACCCGGCCCGCAGGATACCAGAAGTGCCTTGGAGTCTTTGGAAGAAAGCGGTGGACGACGTGATCAGAGCCAACGTGGCCTTCGTGCACGCCCTAGCTGGTAGTGCTGATTGTGTTCTTCTCCATCTTTCCCAAAACAGAGAGAAGTTGGAATCGAACTCGGCGGTGGTCGTGGAGCGATCGTAATCTGAATTGAGAAAGTATGACTCAGCGCTCAGCCTGGTGACAAGCTTTCGGACAGCGGCTAGCTCCAACACTTTTCAAAGGAAAATGACGAGTCTTAGTTGCCCCATCAGTCTCGCGACGCTGACCAAAATCCCGAACGTGCTGGTTACCATGGTATGCACTTCGACCCATACGCATATTTCGAGCCGAAGACGCCTACGGCGAATCACCGCCGCCCCCTGCCTTCTAGAATCGCTCATGTTGCCGAGCGTTGTGGCAAGAGGTCTGCCAAGCTATCGGACCATGTGTTCCCCCGACCGTCGTGGAAACCCTTCGGGGAACACTTCGGGGAGGATGGCAGGGAAGATCAGGAGGAGGAGGAGGAGGCGCAGAAGGAGGAGGAGGAGGAGGAGGAGGAGGAGGAGGAGGAGGAGGAGCGGCCATCTTGGGAGTCTCGGGGGACACTCTTGGGGCCTCCTGGGAGCCTCTTGGAGGCATCTTGGGGGCTCCTTGGGCATCTTGGGGGCCTTTGAGGGCTTCTCGGGGGCCTCTTTGGCCGTCGTGGTAGGCCCCCTGGCCCGTTTGACGCCGTCGGAAACCGTTTTTGGAGCCTCTCTGTGCCGACTTGGCGCCCTTTTCGGGTGCTCCAGGGCCATCTTGGAGGCCGTCTCGGGCGTCTTGGAGGCCCCTTGGGCCGTCTTGGGGCCCTCTTGGGGCCGTCTTGGGGGCCTCTTGGGTTGCTCCAGGGCCGTCTTGGAGGTCATCTTGGGCGTCCAAGATGGGCCGTCTCGGAGGCCTCCTCTTGGGCGATCTTGAAGCCGAAAAGAAGCAAATGCCATGCTTGTTCAAAAACCTAAGGGAAACTAATGATTTGGGAATCTCTGTGCCTTCCTGGAGGCCTTCTTGGAGGCCTCTTGGGCCATCTTAGAGCCATCTTGGGCCGCCTTGGTGGGCTCCTGGCCCGTCTGACGCCGTCGGTAGCCGTCTTTGGGGCCTCTCTGTGCCGAATTGGGGCCCTCTTGGGGTGCTCCAGGGCCGTCTTGGAGGCCATCTCGGGCGTCTTAGAGGCCGTCTTGAGGCCGTCTCGGGGGCCTTTTGGGCAGTCTTGAGGCCATCTTGGAGTCCTCTTAGGCGATCTTGGAGGCCTCTTGGGCCGTCGGAAGGCCAAAAAGGAGCAAATACGACAATCCTTCAGAAACCTACGGCAATTCAATGATTTTAGCCTCCTCGGCCCCTCCTGGAGGACCTGTCGGAGGCCTCTGGGGCCGTCTTGGAGGCCTCTTGGGCACCTCTTGGGCCGTCTTGGACCGTCTTGGAGGCTTTGGAAGTATCTTGGACCCTCTTGGGCCGTCTTGGAGGCCATCTTGAACGCATCTTGGAGGCCAGTTTGGGCCATCTTGGCGGTCTTGAAAGCCATCTTGAGCCGTCTTGGGAATTTGTTTTGTCAGAATTGGGCGCCTTCCAGGTGGCCAGCGGGACGGGCAGGAGCCCCAGAGTTCTTTTGGATAAAGGGCCAACACCAAAACCGGTAGGGTCTAGCACGCAGGGCAATTTTGTGACACGCCAGCGGGGGCACAGGGGGCGGCGGATACCTAGTGGCATACGGTCCATCCCGCCACCGTGCTTGGGTTGTGTGCCAGAGGCCTGTTCGATGGATGTGAGCCAGAGGCCTGGGTGGTGTGCCAGAGGCCTGGGTTGTGTACCAGAGGCCTGGGAGTCGAGGAGTTCTAAGCCTGCTCTGTTTGCAACGCTGAGACTTGCACAACGTCAAGTCATAATACCCCCGCTTGCTCGTTGGACATAGATGCAAGCCCTCGTTACGCGATGCATGTGAGGATTTCTTGGGATCCCTCTCGGAAGTGCCTTAGAGGTATCGTTGGTGCTTTGCGGGGCTAGTCCTGCGTGGCGGGCATGAGCATCGAGTGCGGATGCTCCGAGTCAAGTTTATAGAGTGGCGCTCTGCCAATGAGAGGAGGAGCAGTGCATGCGCACATGCTCTGCTGCAATTGTGCAGAGCGGCGCTCTGTTAATCAGAGCTCGAGCAGGATGGGGACCCCTGCTTCGAGGCCAATTAGCAAAGCAGCGCTCTGCGAATGAGGGGAGGAGCAGCGAGTGCGCATGTGTTGAAGCAAATTTGCAGAGCGCCACCCTGCGAATTGGAGCCCGAACAGTCTGGAAATGCATGGTCGGGGCCCTTTTACTAGAATCCAGGGTTCAGGACAGATAACGCATGAGAGCCTGGGGGTAACTCCACTTCGTGCTCTAGGCGCGGCGGCGGATCTTGAACAGCTGTGTTTCAGAGCTTGGAGCCTTTTCTTTTCTTGGTTCATGATCCGTCTGCCTCCCGTGCGTCCCTCCCCTGGCCTCGTCAGAGATCACTAGCACCAGGCCTCTAGCCCGAACCCGTTATACCCGACCATCCTGTGGTGTTGGGTCCTCGTTTTTAGGACAGTTCTCGCTTCCGTCCTCCCTTCCTCTCTCCTCCCTCCTTCTCCCATACCTCAGCCCTCCGCATGTCCACATCGGCACACCCTTCATACGCTTCGTGGCCCCATAAACTGCTCCACCGAAGGCTCCAGAGGCTGTGTTCGCGCGCCTGGTCCACACAAGTTCGGCGCGCCCTTCACACTCTCCGCGCCCATACAGGGCGCTCATCTACCGAAGGTTCCAGTTGGAGTGGTTGCGTTCGCATACCTTCTCCAACCCTGTGTCGGCGCACCTATCACACGTGCTGTGGCCCAATACGGAGCTCCACTTCAGGCCCCAGTGACTGCGTTTGCATGCCTTCTCCAGTGCTCGGCGCACCCATCACACGCGTCTTGGCAACATGAGAAGCCTCACCTAAGGCCCCGATGGCTGCGTTCGCATGCCTTCTCCACACCCCGGCACACTCTTCGCACGCGTCGTGGCCATGGGGAGCCCCACCTAAGGCTCCAGTGGCTGCGTTTGCATGCCAAGTCTGCACCATGTCGGCGCACCCTTCACACGCTTTGTGGCCCCATAGGGCCCATAGGGCGCTCTACCAGCGGCTCCTGTGACTACGTTCGCATATCGTTCGAATGTTGGTCCACACCATGTCGGCGCACCTCATACACGCTTCGTCCACCGAAGGCTCCAGTGGCTGCGTTCGCATGTCTTCTCCAAACCTATTCGACGCACCCTTCACACGTTCGTGGCCCCATTTCGCATACATTCTCCCCAGTCTGGCGCACCCCTCACATGCTTCTTGGCCCCATGAAGGGGGTTCCGCCTATCAACCGATGAAAACACGCCAAGTATTCTCGGTAACTGTCGTCAGACATATGTTCTTGAATAACTCTTCGTGTTCGACAGAACAAGAAACGATACGCAACCCTTTGCGTGACTCAGGGGCCCCTCGATCAGTAAATGGAGCCGGCATGAGTAACGTGATCATTGCACACATATGTTCTTTATCTATTGTTCTGTGTTTTTGCACACACATCTACAAACATAACAAGACCGAATGGGATTCGAGTTGACGCGGGCGGTAAATGTAGTTAGCAAAGAGATTCACAGAAGAACAGAGATCGCCATATGACTACAATCGAGAGTTCCCAGGACACTCAGTCCAAAAACTCTGCTATTCAAAACGAAACACAACAAACAAACTCCCAGGAACAGCGAACGTCCAGGGCAAACGACATTATAATGAAAACAACCTTGACACCCACGGAGACTTCCCCTGGCACAGGCCTGGCTAACGTGATAGCAGCGCACATAGATTCCTTCCGATTGCTCTGTGCTCATGCACACAAATATACAAGCATAAACAAGACCGAATGGGATTCGAGTTGACACCACCAAGGCCCCAAGTGGCATGCGTTCGCATGCCTGGCCCACGCCTTTTCGGCGCACCCCTCACTCGTTTCGTGGCCTCATGGGGGGTTCCACCGAAGGCCCCAGTGGCTGCGTTCGCATGCCTGGTATGCACCCCTCACAAGTTCTGTGGTCCCATAAGGGGTCTCCACCTAAGGTCGCATGCCTTCTCACCATTCTGGCGCACGCCCCACAAGCTTCGCGGCTCCATAAGGGAGCTCCACCGAAGGCACCAGTGGCAGGAATAGCATGCGTGGCCGTGTCCATTTTGGCCCACCCCTCACGCTTCGCGGCCCCATAGGGGGCTCCACCGAAGGCCCCAGTTGCAGAACTCGCATGCGTGACCGCTCCCTGTTTGGCATACTTCTCACAGGCTTCGTGGACCCATAGGGACTCCACTGAAGGCCCCGCCGCCTGCTGTCCCCAATGCCGCGCCGACAGCCGTGACGGGTTACATCCAAATCTAACCCGTTACGGCGGACATTCGCGACCTTGCAACGTCGGCCCGTCCTTCCCACGCACGCCTTAGTCTTTGCACTCGTTTCCATCTGTCTTGCGGTACTCGCCCCCGCCAAGACAACCGAGCGTCCCCGATAGTGAAGCCCCCCCCTTGAAACTTGAGAGTTGCCTATCCCATTACAAGACAGATTTGGTCGAGGGAGAGGGGTGGAGAGGCCACAATCCATTATCGCCGGGGAAGGTGCGAATCTAATTTGCCGTAGTGTTTCCGTGTGTCGCGTCCTACTACTACTACTACTATTACTACTACTACTACTACTACTACTACTACTCCTACTACTACTACTACTACTACTACTACTACTACTACTACTACTACTACTACTACTACTACTACTAACTACTACTACTAACTACTAACTACTAACTACTAACTACTAACTACTAACTACTAACTACTACTACTACTACTACTACTACTACTACTACTACTACTACTACTACTACTACTACTACTACTACTACTACGACTACTACTACTACTACTACTACTATTACTAGAACTACTACTATTACTACTACTACTACTAGTATTACTACTACTACTACTACTACTACTACTA